GTTGTTAAGTGCTTTCTTTATCTAGGCTAAATATTACGTTAGGTACAGGGAATACAATTTAACAAAAGGCAGGGTCCATGCTAAAGAAGAATTCAATTCTAGTGAGGCAGCTGGACAGGAGAGGTAAGTAAAAGTCATTGTGACTGGGGCTGTGATGGAGTTAAGAGGCTTGGTTGGAATCCAGTCCAATCCAGAGGGAAGAGTCAAAGTGAGTTTCTGAGAAGTGAGGATTGAATTTGGAAGGTCACATCGAGGAGGTTGGTGAAGCTCGGGAGAGGAGATCTAAGCAATGGAAAAGGTCTGGCTAGACCTGCACAGATGGAATTACATGTGTTTGGATTTGTTTGCTCTGACTAAAGCAAAAAGGTGTGTGTGGAAAGTGGAGGACTGGAAAGAGGAGGACTGGAGAGGTGGGACTAGAGATACATCAAAAAGGTCTTCTAAACTTCTTTGTGGGGCGTGGCTCAGAAAGCTAGATTTCTTTGGGACTATTAAGCAGAAAAGTGACATGCTCAGATTTGTGCTTCACTAAAAGTGCCTAGATGGGGCCCTCCCTGGTGGTGCAGCAGATTAAAGCACAGCACTAAGAAGCTAAAGCCACTTCTGCACGAGTTCAATTCCCTCCTGCCCCAGAGGTGACCACATGGTGAGGCAGACCTCTCCTGACCAGCCCGCTGCTCCCCTCAGCAGTGCACTTCATAGATCTGCTTGTTCTGCTCCCCACTGTCTCTGGTGAAGCCTCTCGCCACCCCTGAGCCTCTGGCCTGTATCCCAGTTCTGTATGCACAAATAAATAAATCTTAAAAAAAAAAGTGCCTAGATGGAGAGAAACTGCAAGGTGTTCTTATAAATTTACTTTCCCCAGGTTTGATCAAATGGATAAAAGAGTATCATGTTCACAATTTTTACCCACCAGGTCCATTTCTTCTATTGTCTAGGTAACACCTACCTAGCACATGATAGGATAGAGTGTGGCGTGGCATCTTTGCACAGCCTTTCCCTGGCTGTCTGAGAAGGTGTGGATTCCCACGTGGCGTGATCCAGGTATACTGGCAGTGGGAAGAACTTGATTTCCCCATCTGGCCTTGATCAGGGCTGTGGCTTGGACTAGGTACTTCTCATCTCTGGGTATCAGTTCTTTTATGCAGAAATGAGGAAACGGAACTTATGTACCTTTCAGTTCTGAAACCAACATCATAGTTTGGTGCTCTAGCTTCAGAATTTTAAGCACCTCAGTTTGTATTCTGTCTGACTTCTGGTTGCATGACCTTGTATATGTTACTTAACTAGAGTTTAAAATAGGGATAATAAAACAGTTCTCACAGAGTAGCTGTGGGAATTAAGTGGTATGATTATTATTTAGTATTTTATCTATGTATAAATGAATGGCTGCTCTACATTATCACTTCAAAAATGAAAATGGTTAACCTGAGAGACTATGAAACAAGGAATCTTACCACTAGATCACACAATGTCAAGGTGCTGAACTGGACATTTTACAGTGTTTACAACTTCAGCTGTCTGCAATTTTGGTTCTGTCCACCAGCTCTAACATTACATCTGAGCTCTTCCTGCTCATAAACTGTGACAGAGCACCACCTGGTGGCTTAGACATTAACATTTTCATTAAAATTGAACAAATGGAGTTCCGTAATATATAAGGAAACAGCAAGGATTTGGTGGGGTTGCTAATCTCAAAAGTTTATAAAATAGTTTTAGGTAAAGCTACTGAGTTTCATTAATTGTATCACCTCTAACAGAAACTCTTTAGTCTATGTTTCAATAAAATTCATATTTGGACATTGACTAGATTTTGCAATTCTAAAAAGACATTTTAAAAACATACATTTTGTATTTTAAAGCATAAATTATTTTGCACCTTAAAAATTCCATATGAAATCCTCAGGCTAGTTATTTATACCATGAAATTGAAAATAATCTGAACTCACTCACATGCTTAGCAAAATGGGGATTTCCATAGATTTAACTCACTAGCACTTTGGCTGTCTCTGTGTAAGTTTTTTCATTTCTGTGCACCATAGTTTCCTCATATTATTATAGTCCTATTACATAGGAGTGACCTAAGCCCTAACATTTTCAAAGTCCTTTCTAGTTCTAACATCTTTTGGCTTGAGGGTGTAAGTTAACTGTTTTAATAGTAGGGCTCTGGCTTCATAGAAGCAATGTCTGGGGTCTCAAGCAGCTTTAAGCTCACCTAGATATTTGTAACTTTTTTTTTTTTTTAAAGATTTATTTATTTGTACATACAGAACTGGGGTACAGGCCAGAGGCTCAGGGGCGGCGAGAGGCTTCACCAGAGACAGAGTGGGGAGCAGAACAGGTAGATCAACGAAGTACACTGCTGAGGGGAGCAGCGGGCGGGTCAGGAGAGGTCTGCCACGCCATGTGGTCACCTCCGGGGCAGGCGGGGATCAAACTCATGAGGAAGTGGCTTTGGCTTCTTAGTGCAGTGCTTTAACCCGCTGCACCACCAGGGAGGGCCTATTTGTAACATTTTATAAAATCAGCAGTAGCCTTCTACAGCTAAAATGGTGAGTGATTAACAAGAGTTCATGTTCTCCTTCCATGTGTAAATTTTGCACAGAAGCTGCTGTCCAATTAGGATTTCATTTGGCAATACCCCTTTGGTGCCGGGGGGACCAACCACTAATTTTTGCCAAAACAAAATTAGAGCAAGCAAATTAAGTGTACTTCCACCTCAAGTATATGATCCAATTATGTACTGCCAACATCAAGGCTGTTATACTCCTTTGTTTCATCTTGTTCTGAAAGACACTGGGGCTATGGATTCACAGGTTGGCAGACCCATGTGAAATGAACCCAGGTACCTGAGTTACCTCTTGGAGCTGTCAAGGAGTCATCCATCAGAACACATGCCATGGGCTGGTGTGAGGAGCTGCTGCATGAACATACTGAAAATTAGGGATAGTATTATCCTGACATGCACTCGTAACTCCATGGTGCTGAACTCTTAGACACTGCATGAGAGCTAACTAGTTTCTTAAAAACAAATTCTTTTAGGGGAGTAGAGAGGGGAGAAATTAATTCACTCTCTCTTTTTTTTGTAATCAGCAAATTAATTGTGTTCTGAAAATGGTCTAAGCTATATTTTGTTACACGAAAGTCTGATGTGGACAGTCTTCTGGTGATTTATTGATAGTATAGATGCCACCACTTCTGCTACGTCCCATCGGGTGTTTTGGAATAATAATAAAAAAAAGTTCAATATGGTGAACAAAGCAGTGAACTCATTTTCTGAAACTTTCCAATTCTACATTTTGAGGTGATAATGGGGTAGGTAAAAGAGCAGTCGCTGATTATACCCAGTAACAGGTATTAGTTGATAAGGTTTGTTTCAGATAACAGAAAAATAGAAGATAAAGACAAGTTTTCTATTGAGCTCAGCAAAATACCAACAATATTTTATTTAAGCTACCATTCTATGGAAAGATAATTGAGAATCAGTGATGTAGAAACACATCAGCAACAGTAAAAACCATTAAAGTACAAATAGGATTGTGGGACAATGCTCATCTAACGTTATGAGAGGAGTATGATTGGTACCACAGTTATAAAATTATAGCAAATGTCTAATTAACAAGAAATCTACAACAGCCATATTAGTGGAATGGACTTCCAAAGAAATAAATGTCTTGTGGAATTAGAATTCTTAGGATTTTATTGTACTTTGCCACATAAATTATTGTTACTTAGGAGCCTGAATTCAAACTGGCTTTGTAAATATGAATGCAGCTATAAGACTCTCAGGAAAATTAGTGGGTAGAAATGAATTTTCTGCAGGTACTAACATTTAAAGTGTACACAGATCTTGACCTAATACTTAAGCTGCTAGGAATCTAGTTGGAGAAAAGAATTATTTTTCATAGAAACGTGGTAACAACTTAAAGCTCATCAATTGAAAACTACTCAATCATGCAATTCTGTACTACAGAATACTATGGGCATACTGCAAACAGGTGTTTATGTACTGACAAGGATATCTTCAATAAAAGAACAGAAATTAAAGATAGATCGTATTATATAAGTATTATATATGCTTTTAAATTGACAATATGCTAAAAAAAAGAACAGAAAATTAAAGACCAGTTGATGAGTTAATTCTAATATTAAGGTGGATTTTCATATACTTTATACTTCTGTATCCTTACATAGTTGGCTGGATGTACATTTCTTTCTTAGTTAACATCTCCATATACCCTGCCCGCTGGCTAAATACTCTTTACCATTTTCTGAATATTTCTCTTTCCTTACTTTTGCATTAAAGCTAAGGTAATTTCTCTCTGGAATATCTTTCCCCAAATGTCACTGAACTAAACCCTGCCAGGCTGCTCAAAGGATATGACTTTTAAGAAATCAATTTCACTACCCCCATTCTGGAGAATTATTTGTCCTTTGTCTACATGCTTATTACCTTTGAAGTCTCTTATAGTCTCTTGTAGTCTCTGATAATTCTTATAGTCTCTTATAGTCTCTGATAATTCCAGTTTGCATCTTGGTGTTTTAGCAACCTATATTGGGTTTTCCATGTCTCCCACTTTTAAGCATTTTTACTCATCTCAATGCTCAAAGTAATAGATGCTCAATGTTTGCTGAGTCAATGGGACATTATGTGCAAATTCAATGTGTACACTGTTAATAATGCAGAAAGAGATCAAAAGGTTCTATTTTCAAAATTTTATTTATAATAAAATCTTCATAATGCTTCTCCTTAATTTTTACTGCACAATAAAATCCCAAAGCTTCAAATTAGATATCTTATATATCACAGTTAAGTATGGGAAGAGTTGAATCATTTTGAGGAAAACTTTCATAATCATACAAACATTAATATTTACAATATTCTATAATAAAGATATAAACAATGTAGCATCATAGTCATATATATAAAATAGTTTAAATCATTATTTTCTTACAGAACATTCCAGAATTCAAACTAATAAAAGAAATTCATAAACACCAACATCTGGGGAAGACAAAGAATATCAGGTTTATCAATCAGAGTAAACATATATAATAAACAATTTACATGTCTAAGCCACAAGTTTAAAGATATATGACCTATCTAAGTCATGCTAGAATCTGACTATTATTTTGTAATTCATAGGTTGAAATAAATGTTCTGTGGCAACCTATGAAACAGGAAAACAGCCTATGAAATTCTACTTAACATACTTCTTAATTCTTAGCACACCATTCCAGAAAATCTCAAAGATACCAAATCAGGCTTTCCCCCCTAAAATTAATGCTCTTATGTGTATATTTATTATCAAAGGAGAAAGTTAAAGAAAACACCCCGATATTACTAGTGAATTTTACCTCATTTGGTATAGGGCACTTGGCATAATCATAGCTTCCCTGGAATATTTCACTTTTTCGTGATTTGGGGGGGGGGGGAATAATATGTTCCTCCTTGATCCAGAAAGGAATTAGGGTGGCTTAAAAACAGATTCAAAAGATACCAAAAGCAAACATTATAGGCTAAATTAAAATATAGGGAAACAGCACATATAAAAACACTTAAGAAGGTATCAGAGGAGTGGAGTCACCAAGTGGCCGCAAAGAGTCACTGAGAATAAACCCTCTCCTAGATATAGTAAATAGGGGAGAAACTACAGCAAACGCCAGACAAAACTCAGACAATAGGAGCAGGATTGATAACCCAGGGGAAACAGGTGGAAAGTGAATACAACAGAAGAAGCAGAGAGGGAGATTTCCATCAGACCCCAACCATCCTTCCCCACCTACAAACCTGAAACACCTCGGCCAAGGGAAGAAGAAAGTATCAGAAATAGGCCGAAGTACATTACACATTATTCTCCATGGTGACTTTCTAGAAATATTGCAAAACCCTGTATTAATTAGTAAGATAACTACTATACTTCTGATAAACTGGAGATGCAAGTCTAATTTTCTTTTGTATTAACCATCATGGGCAGTTGATAATAAAAAAGTATGTACTCTTTTTTTTTTTTTTTGGCATGGAATTTTCCAAATGTCATGTGTGAATCTAGGGTAAGTCTTAAGCTATCTTTAGAAGAGCATGTAGGTGAAATCAGAACCAAAATTGGGATATCCTCACATCCAACAGGCTTGGATGTTTTCAAGTTCCATCTCTACTCCTGTAAACACAATTGTAAGTGAGGTTCCTACTGAGATCCTGTCTCCTAAACTTCCTGTATTACACTGCTACTTGGCTCTAGGCTTTCTCTGTGCTTCTTTAAAGCCTTGGCTCCAACTACCTTCAGTAGCCCAAGGCTGGTAGTGACAGGAATGTTGACACCTCACTGCCAAAATAAAAATATTTTAAGAACATGATAAAAGAAAAAAGGAAGTATGGAGAATATAATGAGTAGGGAGGGCAGATTAAGATGAAAGATTTTAATGTTTTAAAATTACAGTTAAAAATGGCTATTTACATACTAAAATGTTAACTTAGGGTTTACAAGGTAGTAGGATTATAATATTTGATTTATACTTGTTTTTTAAAATTTGTTTTATAAGAAATATAGTTTGTCTTCAGAAAAAATAGTATATTACTATTTTCAAAGTTGTGCTTTCAAAGTTCTAAGCTCTGAAGATTACTATCTTTGAGTTCCTCTTAAGTATGGTTAACTACTATAATGTAGAGAAACCCAGGTATGAGAACAGAACTTTGAACACTTTCTACTATTTCCATCACCTAAATTCATCAAGAAAGTCAATTAATACCACTTTACAGGATCTGTTCCTGATGTAAAATGCAGAAAATATATCAGAGAGAAGAAAAGCATAAAGCAATGATTACTGCATTCTATATAATCAAACTTTCTGTGCTTAGAAGGGAATACTCAGTAATGGAATTTTGCCCCTGGATTTATACCGTGACCTAGTCAGATCAGGTGATTTTTATCACTAACACAAAGCAAAGTTGGTAACAGAATTAGTAAGACTCCAGGTTTCCTGATTTTTAGTCTACAGCTCTTATACCTTGGTCTCCAAAGTAACTGTTTTGTGACCTATGTTCCACAGGTTGTCTTAAATGCATATGGAGACATGAGAAATACTACTAGCTTTCTTCAAAAAAATTATTAATTTGGGAACAGTACTCTCTCAAAATATAAAGTCCTAAGTGAATAATCCAATCAACAATTAGAGTGAACCATACAACTTGAGACATAAAAGGATACTAGGAAGATCATTTAGATCTTAATTATATGAGAACTTGGACCCAGAGAAATTAACTCCTACATCACAAGACTGGACAAAATTTAGGCCACTTAACATAGGTTCATTGCTCCTTTTAATATTGCTTACTCTTCTTTGGATGCTGATTACAACCAGAAAAAGAAAATATGAATATAGAACGATATTTAATTTAGAGGTAATACAACTGTTATGAATAAGGATGGAGAATGGCTATACACCAATTCTATGGTTAATAGAAGTAAATTAAAATCTAAAAGAATATACCAGGACACATGATTACTTATTTGAAAATGAACTTAAATGTAAATCAAACTTTGAGTTTTCTAATTATTTGAAGATGATGCAAGAAATTTCAGTGTATGATGCTCATGCAGCACATGATAAATTGTAAATGTTTGTATTCTCACAACTTGTTTCCTGTGAGTTTTATGAACTCAGAAAGGGTTAAACATTGTTAAAAGGGTTGTATAAAATATAGAGAATACTGTCTGATAGTGACAGAAACTATATGTGGCCAACCATGTCCGTTACTAGTGGCCCTTCACAAAAAAGTTTGCTGACCTCTGTTCTAGATTCATAAAGTAAATGAACAGGGCTAAATATTGATACTATGTCTTTAAATTTTTATTTTTTAATTAAAATTAAATATCTGATTTAGTAAACATTATTGCAATTTGTCTTTTTCTGATAGTAGGCAATGGGTTGGTGGGGGGGGGAATCTACTTGAGGGTTATGAGTACCCATTATCCAGCTAAATGAGGTTTTATCACACACATTAATGGAGAGGACATATAGAAGACACTAATTACTGTATCTGAAATCCACATGAAATGTTTCAGACAACTAATAAAATGGCTTATCCAATAGTACATTATCAAATAAAATGGAAGCAAATATCTATCATTTATAACTGGTAATGTGATTCTCTGGGGTTCTTCTCTATTTTTCAGATTTTCATGTCACACCTCCTCCTACTCTCTAGGTTGTTGATTAAACCTCTCAGCTATGTCAGCTATTAATGATGTTTCTTGACTACCATTCATATCTGATTTGTAACCATAAAGCAATCTCACCAAAACAGAAAGAATGAATGCAAGGTTTCCTAATGAGACGTAAGATAACAAAAATCAGGGGGAAATAAAATTAGAGGCAGATTCCACTACCAGCCTGAACACACAGCAAGGCAGACTGCCCTTCAGAGCTACAGTGGCGATCACTGGCCCCAGCAGGGCTGCAGCAGAGTAATCCCCTAGTTTACACAACGCTGACCTTCACTCTGCAAACAAGTTCATATTGCCAATTATGTGGCAAAGTCTAAATTCCGTTAAGTGGAGAAAAATGATTAAAGCCGTGTCACTGTTAACTAAATTACAATAATGTCAAAGCTGTAACTTGAAAGTAGGATCTATCAGGTAAAGATTAAAATGTCTTACTTTAAAAGAATTACATTAATTACTGCTTTCCACCCACAGTAAAGTTCTCTTCAGCCACTCCATTCTCTTGCTTGCTTTTATAATTGGAAAGAAACAAATTTTCTATTTGTGTCAAGAATTCTTCAGCAATGAAGCAATTGGCCACTTTGCTCAGAGTTTTCCTTAGACATTCCAAAAGCTATTTGAAAAAAGAAGTTTTACATTTAAATAAAGAAAACGCAGGAAAAGGTTTTACATTGCTATCGTTATTTTATCCCTTCCTAGTTCTCACTTTCTAATCCTCACCTGAGAAACATTCTTCTTAAATGTTAAGGACACGTTCTACTTAAATTGTGTCCAACAGTGGATGTAAGAAGCCAGTGTTGAGAAATGCTTACATTAGTTCCTTTATAAGTTTCTGTAAGAACAACAACCTGATGCTTCTACCATGGACAACTCTGTGATTTTGCTTTCCTTTTTCAGTAGCTACATTTACAAAACAACGCTGAGGGACAGAAATCTACATACCTATACACAGCACTCTACTATTTCAAAATCGGGATGTTGGATATTTCCTGTTTTCCCACTGAACACAGAAAAAGCGGCAATCTTGGAAGGGGGCAAAAAATGTTTAAAAGAATATTTAAATTTTCTATTCCCAAGTTGCTATCAAATAAACAAAACATGTTACTAGTGTATAGGTTTTAACTCATTACACTAATCTTAGTAACAGAACTATAATTGAAAAAAATTTCAGAACTCATTTCCTAACAGAAGTTAAATAAAATGACCATTTAAATTTAATTGTTAATTTCACATTACCATTTTTTAAGATGATCAATTGTTAAAGCTAAAATGAAAATATGGTACTTCTGAATTTAATAAAATTGAGAAAAATGGTCTCCATTGTGCACAATAATAATCTGTGAAGAAATTTATCACCTAACACTGACAATTTATTCTAAAACAGTATTATTTCTATATGCAAGTGTGGGCAACAAAACACATTACTAATTATCTCCTAGAAATTAATTTTAGAAAGGAAAAAGTTATAAAGGAAACACACAGAAAATGTATCCACAAAGCATTAGGCATCATGGGAAAACATATCAAGATGAATAGCTTTAGAATCTGTGAACAATGGAACCAATTAAAATAAAGACAGCTTACTTTCTGCAAACAAGTCAGGTCAGAATCCCGGCGAAAGATTTTATCCATGGGGACACTACTGTAGGAAGAAACATGAAAACAAAACAATGAAAAAACACTATAAACTAATCAGTTTTGTAATAAACTGTAGCTGATGCCATACATCACAATTTTATATTTAACTTGGGTTTTCCCTAAAACATAATTTAATGAGAAATGCTGCAAATGTGTAACCATCTCAGCACATACCTAAGGGAGAGTCTGTATTTTTCTATTATCCATCTTGTCTTTTCAAACACTAATCCCCACTGAGGTTCTTCTAACATCTGTTGTACTTCAAACTTGTAAGGTAAACCTAGAAAAGCATAAAGTACATTTTTTACTATTTCTTAAATATCCCATCTCTTTTCAATTAAAATTCTTTTCAGTATTTTCACCACAGCCTGGCAGACCAGTTGACCAACACTTTAAATATAGTAGACATTCATTAAATATTTATTGTCTGGCTGAGCCAAGCATATTAATGATACACAATTAATAATAATAAATAAAAGTAAAAGGGCTCTTTGCTTGACAATACTATACAAGGAAATGTGGGAGGCAGAATGATCACATAATTTATCATCCAAACCAAGAGACTTTTTGAGTGAAAGGGAGTACTATTAGCAATTGTGCCAGAACCACAGGCTTAGACTGGGACTGAAATGGGCAAACCAATACAAATTCTACTCTACTGATTTTTTCTACATAGGCTATTAAGCTTCAATGCTATAAAGAACAAAATTATTCATATTTAACAGATAAGAAAACTAAGCCTGACACAAGTAAAATAACTGTTTAGATTTTAGCAAAACAGAAGGAGCTTGAATTTCTAAACCCAAGCAGGTTTAACCCCTCAGCCACTCATTTCACCTCCTCACTCATGCCAATTTAAGACTACACAGGGAACAGGGTTAATTCTGGACCATCAGCAACTGCACCTGAGTCAAAATTGTCACATTACTCTGTAGTCAAGGAGTCTAAAGGGTGGACATCACGTCAACAAACTACGAAAAAAAAAATACTGTAAAGGATGAATCTACTTAGCAGTTCTGCATATATCTTTCACGATCCCCATCTATATGTATTTAATGTATTAAAAAAATTTTTATTGCTTCATTACCAAAGGCCTGAACAATAAAAACAACAATGCTTACATAACTCATACCATGTGCCTTCTGGCAACCCCCAGCACCCCTTCTTTACAAATGACACTGAGGCACAGAAATATCAAAAATCTGTTCATATCTGAACATATGAAGGTTTTATTTAGTAAGAGACAAAGCTAGGGTACTGCCTCCCTTGGTTTTTGTCATTACAAAGCTTTTTGAGTAAATAAAAAGGCAAGTAGGAATGAATGGAAAAACAAAAGCAAACACATGACTACACTTCTTACAATAAAAGTATAGTTAATTGTTTATATGCTCTAAAAATGTTACTCTCCCATCCATACGAAAGGATGGAACAGCAAAGCCTAATGACTTACCTTTTCCATTTCTTCCCTCCAAAAACTTAAGAACAATACATTTTACTAAAGTGTTAAACACTGTTTTTAACAATCCTTTACTTGATGTTTTAATACCTACCACACACAAACAACAGTTATAATTATAACTACCTATTGAAGACTGATTATTGCTACACACTTCTTATTACAACTGACCTCAAGGCAAGGCATTATTTTTTCTTTTTTTACAGATGGGTCAAAGGAGAATGATATGTTAAGTAATTTGCCGAAGGTGAAATAATCAATAAATGTTAGAGTTGGAATCTAAATACAAGTGAGCGACTCTCACTCCTAGTCAAAGTTGAAAAGAGAATAAAGGCAGGTAAATGCATTTCAGCAGGTGCTGATGGGAACTACAAAAGCACCACAGATACACAAACGATACACAGCTTTAATTGATATGAAGCTAAAAAAAGGGCACTAAAGTCAGCAAAAAATTCCTTTTATAAGGGACATTTTTTTCCACTAAAATATCAGAATAAAATTAACTTCCTGCCCATTACAAGTATAGAAAATGCTTAACCATTAGAGACATTTTAAAGTAGGATTTGGGTATTTACCTAAAAGACCGACTGAATGAATGAATGAGTGGAAACTGAATGAGTATATTAATAACCTGAGTTAAAAGTATCATACCACAAGGTATCCCACACTTTTTAAGAAATCCTAATTTCTAAACAAAAGAGTTTCCTAGAGGAGTGAATTTCTAAACAAAAGAGTTTCCTAGAGGAGCAAAGTTTTCTAGAGGAGTTTCCTAGAGGATTTGATTATGAACTAATAAGCAGTACTAATAATGGTCATATCATTTAAGAGGCAACTCTGCCCAACAGAACTTTCTGCAATGACCCTAACATTGATTGCTTGTATGCTGTCCAACTGCAGGTTATTTGAGCACCAAGGACTGTCCCCTCTAATTCTTTCAAATGAGTCTTTTCTAGGCATAGTGTACTTTCTTTACAAAAGTGTGTTATCTGTATTGTTCTAAATACTAATGTGTACCTTCTATAAATCAGCTCCTGAGTTTACTCTCTTATGTTGGCTTCTAGATCCTGGTACCAAGTCCCACAAATTTAGCTGCCTCAGTCTTCTTGGTCTCATCTCTATGACCTCAACTCACAGTATGCCAATCTCTAGGTAGGTTTCTCCATTTGGAAACTCGCAGGTCAGTAAACTAGTGATCTGGTTCACTTTATTTCTCATTTCTCAGAAATCGTATTTCTTCATTGTTTGATGTCCTAACAACCATGCTCTTTATACACATACATATTTTACCTAGTTTTGATGTTGTTTCAGACAGGTCCTTAATACTTCATTTTGACAAGAGCAGAATTCCAGGAACTGAATTACACCTTTCAATTCATTTGAATTATTTTAAACACAGACTCATGTAACTAGTAGCTACTGCACTGGATAGCATTAGAATAGACACTCCCCAAATCTAGCAGACTGAGAATATTAAACTGAACACAAGTTAGCAGATTCCTTGTTTTATAACTTATGTTTATGCTATGCTTAATATGCATACTTCAACTAAAGCTACTACTATCACTCTATTCATTCAGTAAATTCTATAGTGCACTGACAACCTCTGAGGTGCACCACAACTGATTACATAGTTCGTATTCTGTGTGCACAGTCTAGCAAAACAAACTAAATAGATATTACATTAGACAAAAGTGACCATGAAGGCAGGAAAACAAGTGTTGTAGATGCACAAAGAACAGAAATAACAGTAGATAACATGAGAAGTCTTTACCAGAGAGCATCTGAGTGACATCATTAAGAATAAAGAGCAAATTAACGGGGGGGGGGGGGGGG